CGGACCGCGTGGTCAACGCGTCACGAATAATTGCGAGCCGCTGCTTCACCAATTTAACCTGATTAACTCGCACTGCTCAGTGGGACGGGAATCGGGGATCATCGCGGCGTTGCCATTTTTCAAGAGGAATTGCAGATTTTTTTAACAGAAAGCTTGAAGAATTAGATAGTGGGACGGGATCGGGGATCATCGCGGCGTTGCCGTTTTCCAATAGAAATTGCAGATTTTTTTTTTTAGCAGGAAGCTTGATAATCATCGTGTTATCTAACGTTACCCTGTGAACAGGGCCGGATTAAGGGGGTGGCCACATGGGCCGCGGCCCATGGCGCAAATTTTGAAATTTTTTTTAAATGTAGGTATAAAAAAAATGGGGCTCAGAAAAAAAAAAGTATCAATGAGAAAAGGCGACAAAATCTCTCTTTCCCGAGAGTATGGTAATTTCTAATTTTGTTGTTTTTCGGTGATACAAGAGACTGCATCTTAAATTAGTCGAGTTAAGAGAGGGACTAAACACGCAATTTGGCCTGGAACTCAGCGCAAAGAGGAATGATGACGAGGACTTGAGATGAAAAGGAGAAGCTCTCGGCGCGGCGGTCGGCATGTAACACATATTAGCGCCTACAAGACTGAATGAATACTTCACGCATTGCGTCAGACACAATGCGGTCAGCAGCGGTCGGCGTGAAACGCATAGCGCCTACAAGACTGTAGGAATACTTCCCGCATTGCGCCAAATACAGTGCGGCTAGCGCGGAGCGGCGGCGGAAGTTAAAATCATTAATCCACATTTATATTTGTTCTTTCATAATTGTTTCGTTCATTTCTTATGAATGGAAGGCCTTGTCCACAAAGAGAGAGGTTTACGGGACTTAACTTTCGCGCAAAGTTCCGGAAACTTTTGCTAGTAGTGTTGACAGGGCTTTCGCAAAAAATGTGTCTAACACGAGTAAACGCGTTTTATGCACTCCGCTACCTCCGGCACGTTCAATTGATGGTTTTATTGATGTTTCAAAACGAACGAGAAGGGGGCGGCAAAATACAGGCGGCCCATGGCGGCAAGTAGGTAAATCCGGCCCTGCCTGTAAATGGGCCTGTTGCATGCAAGAGATACAGCCGCGCGAATAGACTTTACAGAGGTTAAATGACACGAAAATTACGATGGTCACATTAAAAAAGTCTGAAATACACTCCTTACTGCGCAATTTGTGTTGTTAGGAACGCGCTTTTTCAAATTTCCCGCGCCTGGGGGCAGTTTTCTAATCACCGGAAACGAGCAAACGGCGGGCTCGGTGATTTCCGGAAGATGCCGAGCCGTTGTTGTTGTTGTTATTTATTCCTTCAGTTTGTTTACAAACCCAACGTGATCTCCTACAGTGGTCCATATACGCTTTATGCGGTAACCAAATCGATCAACTTTTAAATATCCAACGCAATCCTTCTACATTTCATTTCACGATGTCACGAGCGGCGTTTGAGTTTAGCAGAGATTCGCTCTTGGCCCGGAAGGCTAGACTTACAGAAAATCCTGCCGCAGATCATCAGTAAGCGGGAGCGTGACACCGATGCGCGTATGCTCTCAGCTCTGGTGGAGAAAGAGAGAACTTCAATTGCACTTATGTATTAGCAATTTTATCCCTTTTTATCTGCCGCCATGGCTCCGTGGCACAGCGCTCGCCTCCGGGCCGGAAGGTTCGCGGGTCGCGCCCCAGATTGGTGATATTTTGACGTCATTAAATTACACATTATGTCATAAATGCCGCGAGTGGCCGTAAAGAAATACTTTTTTCCATAAAATAAGAGTGAGGCGTGCATTTTTGCGCACGTAATTGAAAAGGGCTCCTCTTGCAGAGAAACCTCTGGACCTAGGGTGTAAGGCCCTAATCTTACGTAGACCGTCCAATAATTTTTTTTAGAGGAAAAAGCAGACTCCGAAGACAGAAATAAATGTAACATTAGTGGGCAGTATAAACAAATAAATGTAAGTATGCCTTTACAAAGGGGCCGTCCGCAAATGTACCTAATGCACTTACAGGGAGCCGGGAGGGGGTCCAGAGGTGCCTTACCTATGCCTATACGTAAGCCAAACGCAAAAATTTTGTTTCTTCCAAATTCCGTTAATTTAAAGACTTACTAGTCCAAATTTCGTTTTTTAGACGTTTAATGTTTTTCGGTTAAAATGTAATTTTACTGAACTTTTTGAATTAAAAAACTGCATGTTATTTTTTCAATACAACTGCTATTTTTCATGATCTCCTACCAGCGATTAGTAATGTTTAAAACAATACCGATTTGTTTCAACACCATTTTTTTATTAAATTATGCATTTAAACGATAGAAGAGGGGGGGGGGTCATAAAAATTGGAAAAATTGCCTTTCGTAATTTATGGACGGCCCCAAAGAGTAATTTTGAAATTTCCTATTAGTATTTTTTGTATTCCTTATACGCCTACGGTCGTTTTACTTCGAATTCCGTACCCCATAAATAAAAGAAGAGCAATTGTGCAGATTTTTCTTTTACATAAAGGGACGTTTCACTTTAAAAGATTCCGTCTTGGTCCGCAGGAGTTTCTGTCAGCCCTTCCTTCAGAGCTCAGGGGCTGAATCTCTGCCTGAGGCGAGGACTGACAGAAAATCCTTCTCCGGGTGCGGAGTGCCTAGAGTCTGCAGAAAGGGAACATCGATGCTCCCGACTGCGCACCAGACAGTTTGCGATGGAAATTCGGCAGGATTTTTTGTAAGTCCTGCCTTCGGAATTCAGGAGTGAATCTCTGCTGAACACTCAACTCGTCACGAGCTCCGATTTTTAGGTTATGTTGTCAGTTTTAGTTGACCGGAAATAGCCGCGAGTTGCCGTTAATTGTTTCCGTTAGAAAACTGCCCCCAGACGCGGGAAATTTGAAAAAGCGCGTTCCTAACAACACAAATTGCGCAGTAAGGAGTGTATTTCAGACTTTTTTATTGCGACCATCGTAATTTTCGTGTCATTTAACCTCTAAAAAGTCTATTCGCACGGCTGTATCTCTTGCATGCAACAGGCCCATTTAATGCAATTCGTTTATTTTAAGTTTTAAACCATGTAGATAGATACAACGAATTACCTGTAGTACTTACGTTGGTCCTTAGTACGTCATGCACAAATTCGGGGTGAAACTTTCGGCAAAAGAAATGGTGCGCAAACGATATCGGTAGGAAAACTGTGCGCAGAAGGCGTCACTCTCTGCGTCAGAGCACACTACTTGCTTTGGCTTCTTTCATGTTGATCTCGATATTGTATCAAGGTATTGGAGAAATTTTCCAGTCACATTCTATTTTTTCATTTTTTTCCCGATAAAGTCAATCGGTTGGGAAGTGTACAGCAAATATTCTAGAGATTCGTAACCAACTTATTTGATAGACCGATCCGATGAAGCAGACTAAAATTCCACCTAAGCCAAATGTATGGAATTTAGTAAATAAAGTAATTTGATTATCTTGACCCGTTAGAATTGAACTATAGATATTTTGCGAGGTCGATTTGAGAATTTTTTAGAGAAAAAATTAATTCTGCGAAAGTCGACCGTCACGTCCCACTAAGGAGTGCTCAAGATCCTTGCATCCTTGATGCGCAAGAGTAATGCTTTTATCGCAATCATTATTTATTCAGGAATTATTGAGACTTGTCAATGAGTAGCCAGTTGACGTGTCCTCTGTCTTATCTCTTCTCATGACCCGAGAGCGCCCCCTAACAATGTAGGCACTACGTGGAACAGCAAGTGTTATCACGAAACAAACAGTGATAACTAGCTAGAAAATTCTTGCCTATTAATTATGACCAGCAGCCGGATCTCAATATTAGTCTACTTTTAATTTTAAAAAAAAAATATATATATATAGCAAGAAGTCTGCAACATCGCAAATCGAAATACGTGGTTTATTAAATTACTCGATTTTCCTATAGTGTTAGTCACGATAACCGCACTGGTAGAAATTGGCAGTAGAATCTGTGTTCCAAAATACCATAGATCTACGGCCGGCTGTAAGATTTCCAATAGCTTCTTTAGCCGGCTACACAATTTTTTACAGCCTTTTATAGCCGATGGCGATTAAGCAACTCACAGCCAGGCGATAAAGTGTATGCTGAACGTCACTAATTACGGATGCTAGGACTTAGTGAGTTTTTGGACCACTGCTCTCTTTTTGGGCCTTAGTATCTTGATTTAATTTGCGAGGAAAGCTCCGTACTTTTGATGGATGCCTGCCATTCCTAATATATTAGAGCGCCTTCGGTTTCGTATGACACTGTGCAATACCTCTGGTGTGAAATAGTTGCTTCAAGCGCCGTGGCACGCTGCGGCTCGGCGGGCGGGCGGCCAGCGCGAAACGCGCATTGGCGCCTACAAACCTAACAGGGATACTTCACGCGTAGCGCAATGCGTGAAGTATCCCTGTTAGGTTTGTAGGCGCCAGTGCGTCGCCGCTCCGCTTTGTGTTAGGCTCTAATATTAAATCTGGCGGATTCAGCGTTATTCAACTCATGATTTTGAAATGTTTGCACATCCTGTATGGATTATTCTAATTTTAATTGATGAAAAAAAATATGTATTAAAGGAAAATATAATGTGTGTTTTGTAAATATTAAGGTGGTTCCATATCAAACTTAATAATTTCCAAAACACCCGAATTCATACACAATTTCTTATAGCCTTTTGTAATCGATGGCGATAAAGTGTAAAGCCCGGCGATAGGAACTTTAGCCCGGCTGCATAATTTTTTATCGCTTCGTATAGCCCGGCCGTACGATTTTCTCCGCATTCTACAGCCATGCTATATGATTTTCTGTACCCTTCTTTAGCCGGCTATAAGAATTCCTATGGTATTTTGAAACGCAGCTCTTATCGCCAATTTTTACCAGGGCATTTTTCTCTAAACTATTGATTTATCAACGTAAAAATATCTAAGATATGATATCATATAAAATACCTATACTATTTATAACCGTTTTTTCTTCGTTTCTTTCTTAGAAAATCCTGAGCACGCTATGCAACACAGTTGTGACGGCGCATCTCCTGTCCACTTCATTTTGCATTCTTGACGAAGATCCTCTGAGGAGTCACATTCTGTCAAGCATAATTTTCTTCTCCGCCGCCGCGTCTTTCATTCAAAGCTCTCTAGGAACTAGGTAAATATCTCTGACTTTAAGCTCTGAGTTGATAAGATAACGCCATTCCGCCTCGATGTAATATGCCATTTTCTTTTCACATTGCCGTGGCTGCCATGGTAGCGAAGAGAACAGCAAGTTTCCGAATTCAGTTTTCTTCAAAAGGCGTCTAATCTCTTTCAGATGAAATCACCGAAATAGCTAAATAAGCAAAATTCATCTTATTTTTATGAAAACGAGACATATGAGAAAGCCGTAAGTGCGCAAAAAATGACGCAGTTTTAGGCGAGACGGCAGTAAGTGACATTATTCCTCCAGAGAGCCAATGAAAACAGTGCTTTCAATTAAAGTGCCGTCCACATCTGCCAATTTCTAACCTGAAAACATGTTTGTTGTGTGTCCAGAACGCAACCACGAAAGCATGCAGAAGATAGCACTTACAGCTATCTTGCCTAGCAAAAAAATGCCGGCCTAGCATGAAAATGAAAAATGCCCTTTTTATGCAATTGAAATAAAATTGGTCGATTTTTAATCATCCAAACGATTTCTAAGAGTCTTCCGGATGATTAGTGGCAATTTGAGAAAGAACAGAAGCTTCTTTCGATAAAATTTTCTGGTCAAAAGCTTCTGAGCCCGTCTGAAAACTTCATTTTTGCTCTTACTGCTCTCTTCGCTATCAAAACAGATAATCCCAGTCATATTTTGGAGCAAGATGAAATAAACGATGTGCAAATCGCCTGTCATTCTTGAATAAGTTAAAGCAAATCGTAACAAAGTAAAATCACTGGAAAGTAATTTTAGATTAATTCTATCAACTTAAGTTCATAGAACGATAACTTTTGAAATTAAAAACTGTTAAAGTTAAAAGTTTTGAAGTAAATACTAGTTAAGTCTGTCAGAATTACGGCTGACTTAACGGAAAATTTGGACGTGCAAGTTAACTTTGAAAGTCATAGCTGGCGAGTGTTTAACTTGGAACCCTAATTATCAGACTAATAAAATTGACTGTTTTATGATTCTGTTTTGTTGTCAAATCACCATGTGTATGTCATTTTGCAACGTTTAAAATTGAAGGAGCCAGCAATGATTCTTGCAATGTATCATTGCCGCTCATGCCTCAGAGGCTTAGTGTTTTGTTAAGCTGAAAACCCGTCTACAAATCCAAATAAAAAAGTAGAAGACGAGGCTATGATGGTGACTTAACTGATACATTCAACATGGGATCAACTGTATAATTTGATTTTATTGGAAAAAGACCAGTATACTACTTGCTGAATCGTGTAAAAAAGTTGGAGGCAAAATAAGGAATCAGTATTTGTCCTTTGTTTTGAGATGTACCATTTTAAAATCTAGCAATTTTAAAGTACCTGGTGGATATGGTGATTTTCTCATTTTTTTTTTGGTTTTTATATTTTATACAATTCACACTTGAAGACATGAGAGAGACAGAAAGACAGACTTGATAAAATTGTCGACCTACAATGTTTTCTCTCTGACAAATGTGTTTGATGCTAAAATTTGGCTTTATAGCACAACATTTCAATTGCAAGAAAAACAATGAATTTTCTCCTTTTGAAACAATAATTTTAAAATTGAAGAGATTTCTGTTTCTAATTTCAATAAATACGATGCTAACTCCCTAATTTTCTACAAATAAACTCATACGTAATCAATCCCAATGCGAGTCAACTGGAGTCTTCAATCGCGACTAGTATTGAGAAATCGACTAAAGGTTGACGTTCCCGCACAAAATTTTCGATTTTGACATTTCCACACAAAATTTTAGGTTGACATTTCCGGACGAAATCTTTCCAAAAATTGTATTTATTCACACAATTTGACAACACCGCGTAGCTTATTGATTCGAATTTTGCTAGAAGAGCTTTTAGACAAATGTCCGTAACACATCACGCATTTAAAACGCATTAAAATTTGAATATTTAGAATGCAATTAAAATAAAATGAATAAATTGATTTTTGTGGGGCAGTGACAAAATCAGAGGTTTTTGTGCGGCAAAGGCATACCTCAAAATCGACCTTACAGACTGGTTTGTGATTTTTCCAGGTTACCGTTATCTTTAAACGTAAATTTCCTTTACGTTGTAAGCGTGGTTTTGTTCTTGAGGCAAGACAAATGTTCGACCCCAGGGGATGTTTTCGCGATGGGGCCCGATGGCAGGACAAAGCTGTGGCACAGCAGGATAGCCAGCGTTCAAGGTGCTGTCATGTTGGCTGCTGTACTCACTGTCGTCATCGGTTTCACCGGTTCGTAACTATTCTATCACCCATTTCAATATTATCGCTCATTTAATGGAGAGGATTGGAGGGGCGCTTTGGCAAGTAGGCGAAATTGTTTTTTTCATTAAAATCCATTAAAAATATCGATTTTAGGTGAGACAAGCTGCCTTACCAGAAATCGATTGTTTCACATACATTTAAATGGAAGAAAAACGGTCCTGCCAACGTTCAAAAATTGTCACCGGTTCCAAAAGCAGCACAGAACCTTTGTCTTGATACTGAGAATATAGAGATCCTTGCAGCAATAGAAAATCTCATGAAATGTTACTACTTTCGAAATTAGGGACCTTATTTCACAGAGCACACATGTTCAAAAGATCAATTTTTTTTTTTTCGATTAGAGTTTAAATATCGAATTTTGATAATGGAGAATTTGCAAGGGTCTGAAATTTGATGAATTTCCTGTTTAAGTGGAATCCTCTGAGTGAACTGAACACGAAGATACCCTTGATTCATAAATTGAGCAATTATTAGAGGAGATATGACAAAATAACCGATTCTGCTAAAATACATGTGTTTAAATGGGAAATGCCGCCAGATGACGTCACAAGGCGGCACATTTTCTCACTTTTAAATCAATTTTTCTCCAATTTCCCATGTCAGAAAAAAATTATGAAAAATATTGCGAACTCAGCTCATTAGGCACTTTCAGATGAAGCAATAAAAAAATTGCGTGCAAATTCTCCATTCCACAGGAAACTCTCTTTCCCTCTCTCCCCCCCCTCCCTCTCTCTCTCTCTCTCTCTCCCCCTCTCTCTCTCCGTGGAGAAGGACCTGTTAAGGAGAATAAATTGGAGGACGACCTTTGCTCTGGCCGTTATTTTCCTCCTTTTGAACAAGTCCTAAGTATAACTTGGAAGTTCTAATGAGGCCATTTTCAATGCATTTTAACCAAAAAATTGTTTATGCCCAGATAGTTATTTTTCTAGAGCGTGGACATCACACTCCTCCATTGATCTCCTTCTTAAACTTTTTACTGAGGAGGGAGGAAAGAGATACGTTATTGAGGCGATTGTATTCGAAATTTCAGGGCGTTCACTCCACCCACCTCTGTATAAAGCCTTAACAAATCTGTACTTAAAACCCTGATCTAATTTTTTGCATTCCAGGTTGCCTCGGGAAAATATTGCGGTTTGTGTCCCCGCTGACAGTCTTTCCGATGATAGTTTTAACAATTTTTTCAATTTTCAATCTCGTCATGGAAAAGGTGTTCCTGAACTGGTACATCTCCGGCGGGTATGTACATCGCATCTAAAGTGATTTTAAGTCGAAAATTCATGTTTCTTTACAAAGAATCTTCAACAGATAGACAAAAAATGTCCACACTCGATGTAGATTGCAATAAAAAAACGGAAATATAATTCTTAAAAGTACCGTAACTTTATTCAGTGTACCTTCTTGCATGGAAAATAACAGAATAATAAGTATTAGTTTCTACTACGCTTGATTACCAAGAAATCTACGGGATCTGCTAAGCTAGTGGATAACATTCACTGCTAAGAATCTATTATTGACTGCTAAATTTGTTACATGTGGAACGTACATAGGCGTACAGACTAGAGTATCCATTACTATTTTTTTTATTTCTTCATCAGTTTTTTTTTTATAAGGGAGAATAATTATCTGGTACGAGGGAATTTTTTCAATTTTGTTTTCTCTCTGATGAAATTGTCACCGTCAGTTCATTTGAACTTTTGGGGACGTATTGCAAACTCTTTCAAATTGAGACGACTGTTCAATATAATTCATTCATTTATTTTTTGATTTCAGGACCCTGTTATTGATAGTAATATTTTCTCAGTACCTTAGATCTAGTCCTCTCCCAGTGCCGACTTTAACTTTCCAAAGAGGATGCTACATGCACAGAACAGAAATTTTCCAAATTTTAGCTGTAAGTATTTGACATTTCTGAAGAAGTAATTTTTCTCTCCAAATTCAACAGGATAATTAGTATGGTTTTTCGATAAAAATACATAATTATGTCGCAGTCAATTAGTGAATAAATTAGGCATTTCGTCAAATGCCTGGGCAGATAGTCAAATTTTGACGGTTATGAAATTTTGTGAATATGACGAAAAGCTCACGACTTTTCAGTATTTCGGGAGAAACTGGCTCCTCAACTCTACAAACATTCCTTCTTCCTTCCTATTCAAATGATCCACTAATATTTAAGTGTTAAAATTCAAAAAATTCTGTGTCTTATGAAATGTGAATTTCAACATGAATATTTTTTCAGGAGCTGAAAACTGTTTAAAACACTATTCTAAAATGCAAATCTGCACAGAGATTTCTTCTTTACACGATCAATGAATTACTTTGTCTTAAAGGAGCAAAAAGAATTAGAATTTCAATCTAAATAAGAATATTTGACCATTTGCCTAGGCATTTGATGAAACGTCTGATTTGACTATTTGCCTGCTACACACATACTTCTCCACGGTGTTCGGAAATTATTACTAGCAGACTTCCAGTGCCCCCATGAGATAATTTGACCTCTCCCTCCCCGTAAAAATTTCGGGCCATGCTACCGATTTCAATTTGCGATACGTGTAAAAATAATGCAATATAAAAAACGGAAAATGTTAGTCAGACTACTCCCTTCATTAATCAGAAAACATGACTATTCATTCAAGTATTCATCAATTTTCAGGTGCCTTTTGCAGTAATACTCGCATGGATTATTTGTTGGTTCCTCACATACTACGATGCCTTGTCCGCGAGAGACATGGCTCGAACTGATACTCATGTTGCCATTATTTCTCACACACCCATCATAAATATATTCAGCCCATGTAAGTATGATTATTACACTATTTTACTTCCTCGTCGATAAAATGGACGTATCTCTGCCAAACAGAACAATGTGCGTTCTGACGTGAGCTCTGTTATGCATATATTCTTATGGGGCTCAGGGCTCATGTCTCTATGAGCATAGTTTCGTTTGGCAGAAATATGTCCAAATTATATTTCCTCAAAGGATTCCCTGGATTTTATTCCATGAGTCAATATAAAACTACGCAATTCCGTCAAATGCCACTGTTGCTATACCTCCCTATGGCTTCTTTTTTGGGGGGGGGGGGAGGGATTGTGCTACGAGTTTATACAACATTGGCAAAAAATGTGGAAGTTTCCCCTAATGAGCAAACTTTGGCATCGATGGTTAAAGTGAAAAAATGCGTACATCCGGTTTCTACCGAACCTAAAAAAAAAACAGTTTTTTAAAAAAAATTTCTGTGAATTTTCCTCGTCCATTCAAACATATTAACAGAAAATCCAAAAAAGATATTTTGGTTCCATCTCTCTTAAAAACAAATCGTAATCGGAGATTTTGAAACATTGCAATGCAGATACTCATATTTCGACTTTAGCCAACGGCATTTTGCTTCAATCGTTCGATTTAATCATGAAAAGGTCCATAACTAAGCTGTTTTTCGCGAAAAGAAAAGATCTAGTGACGGCAACAAGAAAAAATGGGTTCGAAATTGATCGACATCTAACTAAAAAACAATCGGCTTCAGTACTTTCTTCTGAACTCGATCAAAGTCACTTTAAAATGACTAAAAAATTATTTTAATTATTGTTTCACAGTTTACTACGGCTTTCCTACCCTGTCTGTCTCTTCGTTTCTGTTGATGTTACCAGCTGTTTTGATGACCGTCATGGAATCTGTCGATCAGCAAAACGCGTGCTGTGTCTTATGCCGTAAGTACATTTTCATTCATAACCTGTAGATGATGCCTTGAAAATAAATGATACAACTATTCGTGCTTCCCTGTCGGGTGTTAAGCATAACTGCGTAATTGAAGGCACTTTTTGCGATCGAAACCACATCTCAGCCCAGTTGAAGTTGAAAACAAAATTCGCTGGAAGGGTCCAGTTCGAGGTTATTCCCTCTACTCGTGAGTTCACCTGCGATTTTGAAAGTCAGCCAAGACGCAACAAGCTGATATTAGTTGGTTCCTCTTAGGGAAATGATTCAAAAAAGATTCATAAAAAAATCCATAAAAACATAAAAAGGATCTGGACCCAGTCACTTTAAATACTTTTAATGAAAATGTCGAGTTAAAAACTCGTTTTATTTCCAGCTAAAGGTGATTCGACGGACGCTATTTTTCGTGTCAAAGCGACGTGCGATAAATGGCATCGATTTGTTCCAAAATTTCAGCTACTTGTCATTTTTTTCGAATTTTGAGATCGCACTTCTGTTATCATGAAGTAAAGAATTCATGTACCAAATTTGACAAAGAAATTCAACGTATTAAAGGCAAGGTTTTTTCAGAGAAATATATCGTATTCGAGTGCTGCAGTTTCGAATGCAAATATGCAATATTTTTCTTCTAAAAAAACCCTGCCTTTTTTCCGTTGGATTTCTTTGTAAAATCAGTACATGAATTCGTTAGTCTCATGGCAATAGAAGTAGGATCTCAACATTCGAAAAAAATGACAAGTACCTGAAATTTTGGAACGAATCGATGCGATATACCGCACGTCGCTCTGATACAAAAAATGGCGTTCGTCGAATCACATTGAAACTTAAAACTTCCCCTCGCAATCATAAAACCATCGATGTTAATTGCTTCATATTCATTTTTAATCTGTTTTTTATCTTTCCCACGGCAGAAAAAATTCCATCTTCGAAAATAACGCATCGAGGGGTGCTGGTTGAAGGAGTGACCTCGGCGTTGGCGTCCGTTTTCGGAGTTCCTGCTGGAATGAGCCCATCACAATCAGATATTGCTGATATCGAAAGCACCAAGGTATAAAATGAATTCAAATTGCTCAGCTAGTTAAAACAGACAAAGTGCATTTCATTGACAGATAGTAACGAATGGAAGCAGGAGGGGACGGGCCAAATAAAGGCATTTTTAGGCCATTCTTTAAAAAATGGCGGCAAATGCGCACCAGATACGTGTGAGGAAACTTCAGATTCGGATTCAGCGACCCACACGGAGAAAAAAATTTCGTGCGTGGTACCCGAAGTTTAGGTCATATGGATCTTTGAAGTTTTCGGATGGAGCATCCGAACGCTTAAGGTCCAGCTGCTGAGGTTTGGATCACACATCTGAAACTTCAGTTCTTACGTCTGAAGTACTTCGGTTTTCGCATATCCGAAGAACTTCGGTTCTCACATCCGAAAAACTTTGGTTCTCACATCCGAAGTACTTCAGATGTAAGAACTGAAGTTCCAGATGTGTGATCCGAACCTCGACAGCTAGACCTTAAGTGTTCAGGTGCTCAATCTAAAAACTTCAGAGATCCATATGATCTAAACTTCGGGTCCTACGCACAAGGTTTTTTCTACGTGCAAAAAACACGAATTAGGCCCAAAAAATAGCTATGTACCCGAAATTCCAGGTAGACTTACCAAGCGCCTGGACGGTGACATAATTTATGGACGACCCTGAGTGTTCTTTAAAATCTCGCCTCCGTTTTTCTCGATCACTATGATTTTTATTTCAAAAAATATAATTTAATCGTGATATTTTTGTTTCAATACAGGTTAGCAGTCGGTGCGTGGTGCAAGGTGCTTCCATAATCCTGATGTTGATCTCTTTGTACGGGCCTCTGGGGGCTTTTCTGACCTTGGTTCCTGTTCCTATTATTGGTGCGCTCATGCTTAATAGTTGTGTCAATTCATCGTGCCAAGGTACGTAAATGCCAAAGAATACACTCTGCACTGATGTTGAGAAATGAGTCTTGCGGCTCTTTTATCCAAACCGTTTCATTTAAACTTCATAACGACACTTCTCAAACCTATATTCTTCTATTCTCGACACCAATGAGATTTGAGGGACTTCGGAGGACAAGGCGCATTTGTGCAGTTTTTGAAAAAATTGAGATATTCATGAACTCAGCTAAAACTAGTTTGAAAGTATAATCTGTAAAAAATTCAATAATAAAATCCAACTTTGAAGCACCAAAAAGTGAGTTTAAACTTCCTTTCTGTCATAAAGCTCCATGTAACTTTGACTTTAAACACGTATTTCTCAAAGTAGCAAAAACTGCACTCATGAGCCTTGTCCTCCAAGCCTCTCATTTTATCTATGGACAATTAGATGAAGATTAGAACCCCCCCCCCCCCCCCCCNAAAAAAATTTGAGAAAAGTTTATTTTGAATATAAACTAAAACATTTTGATGTGTAAATTCTGTTAGCAAGAGAGTTTCTCGATGAATCTTACTCCTACGAGTCCTACGGATCAGTTATAGGATGCGGCTATTTTATTCCATGTGATTGATTTTGCCTAGTCGTCCAATTGAAGGCGAACTGCAAGTTAAGCTGCAAGTTAGGCTGCGGTCTGACCGTTGCATTTCATGTCAGCATGAGGAGATAGCGGGAATCAATATTTTATACGGCACAGCAGGCTGATTGTTGAAACTGATAGAAAAAGCGATAGACAAAGAAAACTTAGGGAGTAAGGAGCGACCCTATCGGTTAAAATGATTGGTTCGTATAGACTGAGGGAGAAAATGATGAGCTAACCATATGATATCTCATGGGTTGCCGTTAGTTGGTCTACTATCTATTCTTTGTCCATTGCAATCACCCGCTTCCATCAATGGGATCCCACCATATCCCTTTTGTTTTCTTTGCCCATAGCTTTGTCTATCAATTTCAAAAATCAGCTCGCAGCCCGCTAGGTCTCGTCTTATCTTGCCGATGGAGATGAACTTATTTTTAACAATCAAACAATTGCTGTCATTTTGTAAGAGAGAATTAAGTCAATCCAAGTTTCCAACGGTCTTTGCCTAACAGTCTAATTGAGAAGGAACCACACACATCGCCTGTAACGTAGCTACCAATGAGGTTATAAAAGTTACAAAAGAAGTGGATCAGCCTGAGGATGCGGCTATTTTAACGCATAGGAACTGTTTTTGCCTACCCACGCCGTTGAAGGCGAACTGCGCGGAGTACATTTAAAACTGGATGCTGCTTGGTGAAAGAAGGTTGATAAAGTTGATAATTCAATGTGATTCAGTCCCAATAATGTTTTGGAAGTACCACGCAGTGCTTTTCTCATTCCTTCTTTATTTTTTAATGCAAGACTCTTCATCTTCTTTTCAGCGCTCTCATACTTATGGTATATTGAACGAAAATCCAAAAGAAACACATTCATCATCACTGCTTCTATTTTTCTCGGATATGTAAGTTTTCCTATGAATTTATACTTTCAAATGTTGCAGCCTCTCATATGATGTTCATTTTTGAACATCGGTACCCTCTGCCTACATACTTTGCAAGCATGAGAATTAAAGAATAAGACTATCATCAGTAGGTATCAGAATTGAGTTACGATTGAAGAATCGATACATTTATATAGGTTTAAATGAAAAGAAACAGTGTTGCCAACAGTGGCGTGGCGTGAATTGCGATATATCGATTGTTATGTCATTTAAACCTATAGTCAAGAATCGATTATTAAGGTGTTCGCTGCGAACACCCTGTTTATCGATTCTTTTCCATGGTTTTAAATGACATAACGATCGATATATCGCAATTCACGCCACGCCACTGGTTGCCAATGAACCACTAGACAAGGTACGAAGTTACGCATTCTGATACGTAGTGTATAACTAAAATTTATTGTGGAACACAATTTTTGAAACGAAAATTTCTGAAATTGACTCCTAACCAAGATATTAAATGTTTCTTGACGCGTGCATTCAAACCTCCCTGTCATGAAAACACGATGGACTTTACTTGTCCTGCAAATATTTTCCAAAATTTTGCTGATTTTCGCACGAGATCAGAGGAAAAATACGCGAAATTTTCAGTCAAAAATGTCCAAGATTCTCCTGGTAAAAGTGTAATTTCCAACGGGAGATTTGGCAACATTGGCATGGAGTTACGTTCTCCCAAGAAGGGAACAACGAATAGAAATCTAGAACAAACCATGACGATACCAATTGCGATGTATCGATTGTCATGCCACTTAAACCTATGGTAAAGAATCGATTATTAAGGCGTTCGCTGCGAACACCCTGTTTATCGATCCTTTTCTATAAGTTTAAATGGCACAACAATCGATAAATCGCTATTCACGCCACGCCACTGGACGATACATGAAAATTTGAAGAGTCGGCTATAGATTATTCGTAAGACTATGCCTTGAAATATTCTAATCGTGAATACAATGCTTTGCTTTCAGATCATTCCAAATTTGGTGGCGACTCATCCAGAGTTAGTAGAGACATCAGTGCACTCAGTAGATGTTGTTGATTCTATCAAACCCCTCTTGAAATCGTACGTTTTCATTGGAGGCTTGGTCGCTTTTCTTCTCGATGTTTCGATTCCAGGTGAATAATTGACATCATTCTTGAATCATACGACAAAAAAAACTAAGAACTGTATGTAACAAATAACAAGGTGGAGAAATGGTGCTGGATCCACACCATTCTGCGTTTTTTTCACTTTTGTATATGACAAGGTGGTGTAATGGTGCTGGGTCCACACCATTTCGCGGGGAAATCAAAGCCAAAAAGTTCCAAAAATTTCAATTGCAGTCAAAAATGTTTGAACTCTAATGAGTACTAGATTCCCTTCATAGAGAGAATTGAGGAAACGCGGCTGATAGATGTCACAAATGGGAATAAAGATTACACAAATCGGACGTTTTTTGTAATATTTGATCAACCCGTTCCCGAATTCCAATCTCCGTTCCCTCTCTCATTCCATTTTTTCCTTGCCGTGCCCCCATTCCCCGGTCCGTTCCAGTTTATAATCTTTGAAATTGATGAAAATGTAATCTTTAATCCCGTTTGTGACACTGTGAAGGCCTAAAATACGGGAACAAATCAGAAATGGATTCACATTGTCTTCATTCTGGAATGAAAGGCGCTCCGGTCACTCTGCTCTACTTAGCAGTGAACATAGGCGCACCGCGCACGGCGCGGCGCGTCACGCTTCGCCGTGGCGCCGCGCCGTGCTGCCTGTGCGAAACGCGCTTAGGCATACGCATTGCGCAATGCTTGAAGTATCCACGTAAGTTCGCAGGCGACAAAGCGCGCCACGCTTTGCCGTGGCGCCGTGCTGCCGGTGCGAAACGCGCTTAGGCACCTACAAACCTAAACGGATACTACACGCATTGCGCAATGCTTGAAGTATCCACTTAGGTTTGCAGGCGTCAAAGCGCGTTCCGCGCTGGCTGGCCGCCCGCCGGCCGCCGCCGTTACGAATACACGGTGAGATAAAATTCTCTGGTAAAAAGTAAGAAGGAGAAGATGTAGGAAAGGATACTTTCACATAATTTTCACATGTCAAGGTATAATATCCTACCGCAACACAGTGGATCGACGATCGAGGCAATGGGAGAGGTCGGACAAAATTTGGAAACTTTAAAAACTTATAACTCCGTTTCTACAAAACTTTGAGATTTTAAAAGTGGTTCCATTGGTTTCTACGTGAATTTTTTGTTCAGAAACATCCCTTTAAGAATACAATGTGACGAATTAAACACCAAAATTTGCAGTTTTAGTCGAACATTTCATGTCCGACCTGTTTGATTGACTCGATCCACTGTGCGCAACACCGAGTCGTGGCAGCGTGTGGCTGCGAGCTCTGCTTCTTTGGCTAAAATTACCCGGGCGCCTTCAATGTAAAACACGCAACACGGGTGTCCATAGAGTGCGAATAGTTGTATCAAGGCGTTGTGGGTCTATTGTATGCGAGGGATACAGCCAAAGAATGGAGATGTTGCATGTGTGAGGAATTTGCCATTTGACTGTTGATTCTTATGTAAAAGTTCACGAAAAACACGATGATGCCACTGATTTTCTCTGAAATTAACTCCCAAGCTCAAAAAAAGCTCTCAAGTTGACGCCAAAATGGAGGGGATATCCTACGCTATCCTGAGAGTCCACGTCTACATCAAAACAAACTCTCCATGCACAGATAGGGAGCGAATACATTAGCAGGGTTGCCGTGTTTTCAGTTTTAGAGTCCCCAAATAAAGTGGCAGCCCTGTCAATGTATTTGCTTCCTATCTTTGCATGGAGAGTTTGTCTTGATGTAGAGGTGGACTCTCAGGATAGCGTGGGATATCCCCTCCATTTTGGCCTCATCTCGAGAGCTTTTTTTGAGCTTGGTAGTTAATTTCAGAGAAAGCCAGTGGCACCATCGTGTTTCTTGCGAATTTTTACAAAAGAATCAACAGTCCAATTGCAAATTCCTCACACATGCAACATTTCCATTGTCCGAGTCAATTTTGCAACCTTGGAATGGAGTTTTGTTCTTTCGTCAGGGAGACGATGAGTTTTGTGACAATATGTCTGTGATGCACCTCTCAGGGTGGATTTATTTTATCTATCCGAATGAAACCATTCTAATAAATGACATTTTCTCCAGCAGCCGCTCCTGGTGAATCCGGCCTGAGTTTGTGGCGACGGAAGGTTAGTGAGGATTTCAACTTATCCGAGGTACGGACATGCTCCGTGTGCCGCGCTAGTATCGCAGAAAACGGCACCCCCACGAGTGAACACTCTAACAATGTCAATGTCATCGATGCCTGTTTCCTAGCCTGGCTCGCCTGATCATGCTTTTGAACGATTTGCAAAGAGGATCAAACGAAATGAATGCACATCGTTCTTGACAAAAGGGCTAATTGGACTGCATCTTGCAAGTTGGAACTATAAATTCTGGCCCTGGTTAAAAACAACGTATGTGCCATTGGTTTCCCTATGCACATAAGTGTTTTTTCAGATGAGTTAGAATCTATACTTCCAAATTGCTAAATGCAGTCCAATTGTACGGACGTTTGTGCCAAAACGCATACCTTTGCGGGACAGCATAAATGAAATCCAAAATGCGCGATTCTGAGAAGGACTCTAAAACTCAGTTTGTGGCTCTGCTGACTTTTTAGCGCTAATTTTAGAGCCATTGGAGGATTTGCATGCAAATTTTTATTGCTTCATCTGAAAGTGCTTGAAGAGCTGATTTCACAGAATTTTTATAATTTTTTTCTGATTTGGGACTTAATATAAAAATATATTCAAAAGGGAGAAAATGCACCGCCTAGTGACGTCATCTGGCGGCATTTCCCATTTAAATACACGTATTTTGGGCAGATTAGATCATTTTGTTACATCTTCTCCAGTAATCGTTCAGCTCATGAACCAAGGGTATCCTCGTGATCAGTTCACTCAGTAGTTTCCACTTGAAATTCATCAAATTTCAGACACCTCTGCAAATTCTCTATTGTTTTCATTATTTTCGGCAATTTTAAACCCAATAATAAAAAGATTGATGTGCAATGAGAAAAAGCATTTGCTAATATGAAATCAGCGCTAAAAAGTCAGACAACGCCAATCACAATAAATTCGAACCCTCTTTTTTTGAAAATACCTGTGAAATTGCAAAAATAGCTCGTTTCAGAAACAGGCCAAAAAAGTTAACCATTTCATGTAAACGTTATCCAAACGTACCGCTTTAAATTGGTAAAACAAATGAGCGTGACATTAAGTTACCCTTCATTTGACTGTTTATGCAATTTTAGCCACGGTAAAGTCGATATAATTGTATCAAGCCTTTAACCATAAGTTCCTCTGCGATCTTTTCTTTGTAGTTAAGTCAAACCCAGTGGAACATAAAGCTCATAAAGTTATAGATCAACTTCAAGTGAGTTGATAATACATCACAATTATGTGACAGATGTGTTGACCCATCAATCACTTCTGTTCTATTTTTAAATGAGTAAACGAAAGTTTCTCGTATACCATTTTTGTGATTATACAACGTGTTGATTGTACCTAAATTAGATCTGACTCGATCAAAACTTTGTATTTTTAACACTACCATACATTTTTTTGTTAAGTTATTTTTCTGTAGATTACTATCACCATAAAAACTATGTTATGCCATCTTCCTCTTAATTTATCAATGATTTCTTTGCTGCTTTACTTCAACGTACCAAGTATGCTCTTCCATACGAATTAAAACTATGCATTTTGCAGTTAGTAATCAGGCAGTTGTGCCAGTCATTAAACGTCTTTTGACAATAACATAAGAAAACGAAATCCATCAGGGCGTCAAGTTTTTATAATGTCGATAGAAACTTTCTTTGAAAAAATAAAAATACTGATCGCGTTGGTACATACCATAATTTCTTACGCCTAAGTTTTATGAAATACGCAAGTAAAGCAAATATCGACGGTGAAACTACCAAACCACGTATCTCGGTTTGCGACGTCGCAGACTTCCTGTCATACTTTATTTTTTGAATGAAAAGCTACTTAACGTCCAGTCTTGAAAATTTCCGTGATTTTTCCTCTTCGTGCGGAGAAAATTCTGTGAAAATTTCGAGGAATGATATTGATTTGGTCTACTTCAAAAAAATAAAATGTGAGCGGAGATTTTTAAACACCGCAAACGAGATACGTGGTTTGGTAGTTTCACCGTCGATATGAACATGTGCACATTTGATTACCGTTAACATAACATGTTAGCATTCCTTATAGCCGAAACTTAACGTGAAAAATACCGTATAGTAATGTTCCTAACTCGGTCTCTAACTAACCGTTCCATATTTTTCAAAGGGAGGTCTCGCCAAAAAACATCATTGTAGAAATTGATGTTTGGATGGATCTCATTATTTTTTATTGCTGGTAAATACCGTTCAACCGTTAAAATACGATTCTATAATAGCGTAACTGGCCGATTAAACGACCTGAAAACTTATGTTTAGTTTCTGATGTGTACTTAAACACAATTTAACTGTGCCATTTTGGACGTAATGTATCAAAGTATTTCAACTCTGAAATGATCTTTCCATCTTAGAAATCGCACGAAACAAAAATTCTTTTCTTATCATTCATTCATATCAGTCATTTCTTAAATTTTCTTAAAACTTCTGTTTATGGGCTTTTTCATTATTTCTTTGATGCTTTGCGGAGATGCGACTAAAAATATAGTTTTTAAAGATCTCGACTTTTAACAAGCTCATGAATGATTTTGTAGTATTGTCAGATGACTTTTGACATACCAGAGAAATTTGTGAATTTCAATATCCTCAGAAGCCATTGATAAAAATGTTATTAACGATAAGTAAATTTTGAACATACCATTTTTGTTGACCCGTATGCCTAAGGTAGTGTTAAGTTTATTATTTTTTAAATAAATGTTCTGACTTTTCATTTTTTCACCATGCGTATATTATTTGTCGTTATTTTCTTTAAAAATAATTTTCTTTCGAAAGTGACATCTATATATCATTGTTTTGATACCTATCTAAACACTTCAAAAACTTGACTTTTTTCTCTCAGAGATTCCCTCCAAAGTTCATTCGGGGCAGGTTTTAATTTATATTTTTTTGGGGAGGGGGACCTTCCTCCGAATAAACTTGGCCTTCTTGACATCTTTTGCGAGCCTGTTCCCCCTTGAAACGCAAATGAAATAACCTTCTGCCAAAAAAGTTTCTGAATTCCTCGAATATCTAAATTCCTGAGAATTGAGGTGGTAAAAGATTATTAAAAATGTCTCATCTAATTCCACCTAAAGGTGAATAGGGCCGGGTTTACTTACTTGCCGTCCATGAGCCGCCTGTATTTTGCCGCCCCCTTCTCATTCGTTTTGAAACTCGATAAAAACCATCAAATGAACGTGCCAGCGGGGGAGGGGTGCATAAGACGCGTTAACTCGTGTTGGTCACATTTTTTGCGAAAGGCCTGTTAACACTACTAACAAAAGCTCACGGAACTTTGCGCGAGAGTTAAGTTCCGTAAATATATCTCTGTGTGGAAAAGGCCTTCCATTCAAAAGAAATGAACAAAAAAAGTATAAAAGAACAAACATAAATGTAGATCAATGATTTTAACTTCCGCTGCCGGGCCGCGCAGACCGCACCGTGTTTGGCGCAATGCGTGAAGTATTCCGACAGTCTTGTAGGCGCTATGCGTTTCACGCCGACCGCTGCTGAACGCACTGTGTTGGACGCAACGCGTGAAGTATTCACGCAATCTTGTAGGCGCTATGCGTTTCACGCTGACCGCAATGACCGCACTGTGTTTGATGCAATGCGTGAAGTATTCGTGCAGTCTTGTAGGCGCTAATATGTGTTACATGCCGATCGCCGCGCGGAGGCCTCCTTTTCATCTTAAGTCCTTGTCATCATTTCTCTCTCAGTCGCGCCGTTCCTGGCCAAATTGCTTCTTTGGTCTCTCTCTTAACTCGATTAATTAAAGGTGCTGTCTCTTGTATCACCGAAAGACGACAAAATTAGAAATTACTATACTCTCAAGGAATGAGAGATTTTGCTTGTAATTTTTTTATAAATCCGATTTTTTCATACCTACATTTAAAAAAATTGCAAATTTTTGCCGTCCCTTAGATTTGCCGCCATGGGCCGCGGCCCGCATGTGGCCACCCCCTTAATCCGGCTCTGAAGGCGGATAAATTATTTTGGTCCTGTGGATTCCAAAATAATATTCAACCAAATTTACTGGCGTTAAGGGAAATTATATTTAAAAGCAGTTGCTTTTCCGGCCTTGATTAGCCCAATCCAGAAAAATGAAGGTCACTTGCAGAATCAGCCTTAAAAATCTACCAAACCAGTTGATACATTGTAGGCAAATTTACCCTTGTTGACCAGTTTTTTTTATGCAAATTATGGCTTAAAATTTGTAACCACTGTTCTTGAAAGTATTGGAAGACGTTCAACGCTAAAAATATAAAATCCAAAAATTAATTTTACACTTTTGTGAACTTATTTCCAAAATAATTAATCATCTCCGGAGCTAAGCTTGGCTGCCGCGAAAGCTAGTTTGCCTCGGCGGAAAAACGCCGCATGAAGACCCAGACGTTGCCAAATTTCTTCCTATAAAAGATTATTTTTATAAAAATTTAGAAACACTTTTTCTTGAGATTCTCAGGGAGCATGAGATTAAATTGCGCAGAAAATTCTCTAAAACTTCAAAAGATAAGAACTCAGCAATTTTTCCCGGGAATTTTAATTTAATCGAAAGGAATTTAGCAACGCTCGTGTATTACTACGACATTTCCCCCTCAGTTTGCAGTGGTCTAAAAATGCTGTTCGTAGACCCGGGAGTTGCCAAATTTCTTTTGATAAAACATTGTTTTTAAGGAAAGTTAGGACTATATATCTTTGTAAGTTTTAAAATAATCTTTACTCAGAAGAATTACAAAAAAGAGCTCGCAAGTTTTCCAGGGAATTCTTATTGAATCGAAAGGAATTTGGCAATGCCCGAGTGTTCATAAGGCATTTTTCCCTGACGCTTCAATATTGACATCCAAGCATAGGACCTGATATCGGTAATGGGTCTGTCGCGCCCAAGGGATGGAGTCAACTTAATATATTTTCTAAAGTGTATTGATAAATAGTGATTCTGCGTATGATACAACAAAGTGTATCATGAAAAGTCCGTCGAAAATCCCCCATCAAAAAATTTAAAAGCTAAAATGTTTTCATTTCAAAGTTAATTATACGGTTGTTTTCAGTTCGCCTTCAACTGCGTCAGCAGCAATTGTTGTTACGATTATGTTGTGCGTGCTGATTTCAGCGCATTACATACTTGACTCTCTGAAGGCGTTTTGTGTGCGCAAGTAGCGCACCTTGTTGGAGAACAACAGATGTAAAAATTGAATGGATCGCTCGATCCCTACTTCGTTCGTTCTTCTTCAGAGTGCGCTACTTGCACACACAAAACGCTTTCAGAGAGTCAAGTATGTAATGAGCTTGAATCAACACACACAAAATATTAGTAACATCAATTGCTACAGGCGCAATTGAAGGCGAATTGAAAAGAACTGAATAATTCACGTTGAGAAACATTTTAACGCTTACAGCGGCCGTAATTCAGCCTAAGCGTAATCGCGGACCAATAAGAATCAAATACTGCAGTGTAGAAACCCTGTTTCAACCTCCTCGCCAGGATTAAAACGAAAGGAACCGGACTGGGCGATTTGTCGGTTTTGGGTGCTTAAACAGGGAAAGAAGAGAGAAAACCTTCATTTCAATTACCTTACAACATTTCCTTCTCGAAGTTTTACGTAAAATACGATTGACGAATCGAAACTTAAATTCAATCCTTAAAAATGAGGAAGTATCCAGGGGCTATCGCCTGACTATTACCACAAAAATCATGGAAATCTGCCCAGTTGAACGGTAGAACGAGCCTTGACAAAAATGGAAATTTAGGGGGTCAGAGAGCTTGTACTTATTGATGGCTCGTAAAGCACTATTAGGATATTTGAGAAGTCGGAAATATAAATACTCCCAAATTCAAAATTGGTCAGAAATTTGCGCTTTTGTGAGTTACTCCTTTCAAAAACTTCACCAAAGCAGACATGAGATAGAAAAATGAGTCTGATGCACGCTAGAGATACAG